GTTATGGCTACTTGTGGGGAATTTCCATGGTGTATTATATGTGTGGATGGTTAAATATTTTGAAACACACTCTGTATATATATGTATGGATATGCAAATTTTCTCTCTTTGTATGAGACCTCTCATTCAATTTACTTAAAACATCTGCCTTGCATATTGCTTTATTATTTAAATATGGGATAATAGAAATTCAAATTTTGGATTCCATTAAGCATTCAGAAATTCTTTTTGGGTAACTAACATAAAATCTTACAGATATGGGCATATCTCTGAACATCCTTAGATAGATCTGAGTTAAATGGGAGATCTCTACTTCTGTTGGCACATGCAGTATCTTATAAACATAGCCTAACTAACTTTTTTCTACGAAGAAAAAGAACACGTTTCCTTGTTCTGTTTTGTGCACCCTTCAACTAAGTTGAGTAGAGGAGAAAAAAGGTAGTGATTACTTTATCCTTCTACTTAATCTGTGGCAACTAGTACTTTATATCTAGGGTAGTATTTCCAAATTTAGAAATCTAGGACCCATGAATTTTGTCATCTTGATAGCTGTTCCAACAAAATGACACGAGAACCCCAACTAGTCCCACAAAGGTCACACAATTTGAAAGGTCAAAATGAAATTGATTGAATGTCATTATCAATTTGACCTAGATTTCCTTTAGTAATTGAAAGGACAAGAGGCTTTTGACCTAATCTGTCCCTTGCAGAGCTTTGCAAATGTTCATTTTTTGCTTCTGTCTGTACAACAAATAAAACTTTCTTAAAGGTTGCTGGACTTCAGTTTTTCTCATTAGTATGATTTTTGAAAAAAGTTTAAATTATCAAAGAATCAGAAGGCAGAACATTTTGGAGACAGAGGAAAGGAACAAAAGGTACTTTAACATAATACTTCTGTTAGAGTATGTTGTTTCCATTTCTTTATAGCTGTTATTTATATTAACACATAATTTATACTTTTCTCTACAGTTACCATTCTGTGTTGTTACTGTCTTCCATAGATGTTTGTTAACTTTGTCTTAACAGTTATATAGTACTGTACAGAGAAAGGTGCATTATGACTCAGTTACTTCTTCCATACAAGTACCAATTCCTACCTTCCCCTCCTTTGGTGTTGTTTCTCTTTCTTTAATAATTGGCTTTTGCTGTTAGGGCCAAAGAAAATAACACTAAATGAGGAGCCACATTGTTTAGACTGTGTAGCTTTACCTTGTTCAACACTCTCTAATTTCTGCCAATCAGATGACGATACCAATGATGGTCCACTCTCTACACTCAAACACTTAACTTGTTTCAAAGAAAACAGAAAAACAAGATGTGTTCTTGCAAATTATTTTTCATATATATATGAAAATATCTCCATTACTTGCAGGTTATATTAAATTATTGGAGTAGATCAATTCAGCTTATTTAAGAGGTGATAAATAGTCTCAGTTTAGTAACTAAAACAGTACAAAATGATTATTTTAAAGGTGGACAAGCTGTGGTGGTGAATTGCTGTCACTTTTGAGTTTTGTTCCTTCCTCATGGTCATTTGTTCCTTTTCATGGGTATGGTAGCTTTGCTTACCATATGTTAAGACTTGACCCTTCCTTTTTTTCATTTATGGAAGGTCTTACTATGTAATTTATGTAGGCTTATAAGGCCCAATCCTCCTGTTGTATTGCTGTGATTACAGGTGTATGCCACTGCTCAGTTTGTCATCTTTTGTAAGAAGTTTGGGAATGGTTTTCTCTCTAAAGTCTGTGAACAAATTTAGATGTCAGCCTTTGGTTTTGTACATGTAACTGGAAGGTACTGAGGTTATAAAGTCATCTAATAGTAAAACAAACAAACAAACAAAAAGAACAAAAAAAAAAACCTGACCCACTGCTACAACAAAAAAATATTATATTTTTAAAGGATATTCCTTTGGAGAATTTCTTAGACAGTATTCTGAAATCAAGAACATATGTGAATTTTGTATTTGTTATAATCATATTTTAAAGGTAATGGACATATCTTTTAGTCCTATGGCCCAGAGGTGCCTTACTTTCTAAAACCTGTTTTAGAAACTTTATCTTACAATAGAATTGATTCTAATATTTCTTTTTATTATGAAACATTTATAACATTGACAAAGTATGTAAAATATGTTAAGGATTAATCTTCAATAGACATTAGCAAACTAACTTTATATATGTATACAGACATTTTATTTTATTATTTTAAAGAGATGGGAGAGGCCCTATTGCATTACTCTGGTTGACCTGAAAGTTCTAGGCTCAAGTAATCCTGCTTTAGAATCCTAGGTACCTGGATGATAGTTCCAATGAATAAAATAGGTACATTTTGAGTTCTATGTATAATGTTTTCTGATTTAGTCTCCTTTTCTCATGTCTATCTCCTTCAAAATACAAACACTATAAGCTATTACTACATAAGTTTGTCTGTATAAACATTGTATAATATTATTTTATATATTGTATATAATACATATATATTGTATATTGTGCACTTGATCTTCAACAAAACATGATGCTTTTGTAGTATACATTTTTTAATTTATTTTTTAATAGAATATATTTTGATCATGATACAAAAATGTTTGATTCTCTGAACTCCTCCCACAACCATCCTATCTCCTGACCTTTTTCCATGAAATCTTTAAATTCTCTCATGCATACAACTTGCATTATTCACCTTGTTTTTGAGAATATTTCACATTCATGCATATATTGCATTCATTTAGACTTCTCACTGCTTCCTGTGCAACCATGCTGTGCTTTATTTTTCAGCCCTGTTTTCCCTGCCTAAGTAGTTTTAAGAAGGGACAATTTGAAGTCACTGCCTTAAAATTTTTTGGCCAAGCAGAATGACACTGTTGCCAGGAATCCATATTTTCATTCCCATTGTTCTCGGTTTTTTTATCCCTGGCTTAATAGTTTTACTCCTCCTCTTGTGAATATTGTTAACATGACTCATTAAGATTTATTTTATTCTGAAATACAATACCTACTCTATGTTTAGGATCAACTAAATGTGAGCTAGACATTGGCCAACAACTATGTTAGCTATTAAAGCTCTAACTATCATATTGAATATTTATATTTAATATGCAATGCTTGTGAGTTCATACACATTCATTGACTGTATTTTTTTTTTTACTTTAAAAAAGACTATGTTTTTGACTCATCAGATAGGAGCACTTGCTCTTTTTGCAGAGGACCTGGGTTTGGTTCCCAGCACCCACACTGGATGAATCATAACTACCTGTAACTCCAGTTCCAAGGGATCTGATGCTCTTGCTTTGTGGAACCTGCATGTATGTGGTGCATATGTATATCTACATGCTCCCAAGCACATACACTTATAAACAAGTAATAAAGTTAAAGTTACCAAAAGAATGATTACTACTAAGAAATTACTTTTGGATTTTAAATTCAGTTAAGGTTTTTTTTTTTTTTGAATTAAGTAACTTAGAATGTTTTCAGTCTTTTTAAAGAATTGGAATTGTGCTGGTACTTAGTCAGCATTCTGTCAAGTTAAAAATGACACTCCCAGGGGATGAATACACACACATATACATGTGGCCAGCATTTATTGAACTTAGTGGGTTATAAAAAAGGAATAAATGAAGTTGGAAGGAAGATAGAAAATATATCAAGGTCATTGGGTGATGTGAAAGGAAGGAGTAGGGGATGGATATGATCAAGATTCATTTATATGCATGTATAAATTTTTTGAAAAAGTTAAAAAATACACATTTGCACAACAATGTTCTTTTTCTGAAATCCTTAGCACTGCACAATAGGTGTTCATTAGAAGGGCAATGTAGAAGTAAAATGATCTAGAGAGCATCATGTTAAGGGTTTGTCTTACTTGTGGGAATAAAAAACATAGAAGGAGAAGTGGGGGGTTATCATGGAGTAGGAACAGGGCCAGTGGGAAGGGGAAAGTGTAGATAATAGTGTGAGAAAAATAGTATCAAAGTACCTTGTATACATGTAAAATAATGCCAGTGAATTCTACTCTTTTGTTCAGTGAGTACCTTAAAAAAAAGAATTTATTCTTGGTTGTTTACTTACTCAGTATGTTTCTCTTATTAATGGCAGTTACATATCCATTTTACCTTTCAAGTTCTTATGTTAGTATGAGATTTTAGAAGCAAAGCTTTCAAGGTCACTACAAACTATTCTTTTTACTGTAATACAAACGTCACTATAGTATATAGGCGAAGTACTGCTAGCTTTGAATGGAATTCAGTAGAATTGAAATTCTTTATTACCCTCTTTCCAGAAAAAAAAAAAAAAGAACCAAATAACCCATTATCTTAGCAGACAACATTGTTGTGAGTCCTCAATTTCCTGTAGTTCCATGCAGTCTATAATCTGCGATTTGCCTCTGTAATTTTGTTTTTAGCAATTAGAGCTTTTCTTTGTGTTAATAGATAAATCTTTTTAATAATTAAATTATTTAGGTGACTCCATCATACTTAGGGTGGAAAATAGGTTTGTGAATTACTTCCATTTTTCCTTTTATGAACAAAGGCTAATTATAGTAAATTGGATTTTAGCATTTGACTAAATTTTCTATAAGCTAAATGAGATTTCAGCTGAGTACTCAGAATGGGTTTAGAAGAATCTTATGTGACAAACAAATAAGGCACACATTTTAGAAAGAATCAAGAACTCGGAAGCCAGGAAATTTCAGGTGATACATTTAGCAAAGGTTAAAGTGGGATTTTCAATTATAGTAAACGGAACACAGCAAATAACTGAAACTTTTCTTGTTTTTTTCCCTGTGAGTCAGAAATGACCATATTGATTTTTGAGCTTTTTATGTTAAAAGAAAATTACGGAGATTAAATTTCATGGCTTTGTTAATTGTGAGTTATGGCTGAGTGATGCTGTGAGAGCCATGACTTCTCTTCTGGTTGCTCCTTGGTGGGCTGAAGTCTATTTTTAAAACTGTCTCTTATCTGCATTTCGAACAATAATGACGTGGTTTGTTTTATGCAGATCAAATTTTCAGAATCGGACTACTTTGGCAATGTACTGCAGACCCGCAAGTATTTAGCACAGTCTGATTTCTTCTGGCTAAGAAAAGCTGTTCCTAAAACAGAGTGAGTACTTCAAAAAAGTGAAATTGATAAATACATTGGTGGGAAGAGCATACTCTTTAGATTAAACTCCATTTCTCCTCATTTCGGAGTCGCCAGCTTGCCAGTTATTTTGTTTTTAGCAAAATATATGTTGTGGATATCCAGCTCACTTTTCTAATATTATGTGGTACATCTATTGAAGATCTCCCAATCTTAGCATCAACACATATCAGAAGAATTCTCATTAGGATGCAAACATTGAAGCTATTTCTAAATGCAGTTATAAGCACATATATAGATAATATTTCCATATACATTTTTCTCTGAATTTTTATGTGCAGGTAGAAACATTTGAAGAGTTTAAAGAATGAATATTTTAGTATGATTACATGAATAGAAAAGTTTGTATAATTAAGAAGCAACTAGAGCAGTTGTTCTCAACCTGTGAGTTACTACCCCCAGGGGTCTAATGATTCTTTCACAGGGGTCAAACATCAGATGTCCTGCATATTGATATTTATATTATGATTTATAATAGCAGCAAAATTACAGTTATGAAATATTTACAATATGTGTGTATTTACAATATGCTAAGAGGTACTTTTAAATTTATGTATGTGTTTATTTGCATGATGTGTATGTGTGTGGGGGGGGCATTTGTGCCTATGCACATTCCCAAGGAGGCCAGAGGAGGACATCAGATATCTTCCTGTACCAATATCCATCTTAGCTTTTGGGGCATGTCTTTCACTGAACTTACCACTATTTTTTCCAGTTATGCTTGCTAGCCAGTATGCTTCTGGGATCCACCTGGTTCCTCCTCCCCAATGATGGGTTGCTGGCATGTGTGGCCATGCCTGGCTTTCATGTAGGTGCTAGGGAATCTGAATTCAATTTAATAGGAATTGCTGTTACCACTGATCATCTCACCAGTAGGTGCTTTATAATTCTTAATTGATTTTATCATCATGTCAGTTCTGGGGGATATAGATACTATATCCCTATTTTGCAAAGGTTTGCTATGGTTCACTTATTCAGTGCTTTGAAAATGTTCTTTTGACCATATCTATTTTTATGCTTTCAACTACAGTTTATTTTTTAGAAATGATTTCTATTTCTGTTACTTATTCATAGTCATTGTTACTATATTATTATTAATTCTTTGAATATAGCTTAATTCTTTGAACCACATTATAATGGCCATTTTCAAATCTTTCTTAAATCTATTGTCTGGATTAATTCAGAGTAAGTTTCAATTGATTCATGCCCCCTTTTCTTTCTTGTAGTATATTTTTTGTTGTTGAAAAATGAAATTTTAGATAATGTAATGTAGCAAGTCTGGACGCTAATTTACTTTTCTGAGATTTTTTTTCCTGGGTTTACACTGCAGATTGTGCCTCTCTGGAAGTAGATGGCTATGGATTCCTGTGTCCAATTTTCTGTCCTTTATTTTATTTTTGAGGTTCACTTCTTGATGATTATCCCAATGTATACAAGCTTGAGCTCAGCCAAGAGGTAGTGCAGATCTAGTGCTCCAGCATTTGAGTAGTTTGATTGCCTTCAAAGTCAGGCAACTCTCAGGCTTCCTTGGCTATTGTTTTCCAAAGGGCTTTCTGTGGTCTCCCTTGCATTAGAACTAGTATCATTATCATCATTGTGCCCTTTTCAGTTTCAGGATCTCCCTTTGAACTTTCTGACTGGATTTTCATTTTATATTTTAGCCGGCAGAGCTACATTTTCAGCTAGCTCTTTCTTGGACAAAGTGAATTTCCTCTTGTACTGGGACAGACAAGAGCAGTCCCAGTAAGATGCCTGTCAAATTCTGTTCTATTTATTCCCCAATTCTAGCAGTTTCTTTTATTTATTTATTTATTTATTTTATATAACCAAATCCATTTAAATGAAAACAAACATTTATAGACAATATTTGGGAATTTGTGTGTTGTTCTTTCCAAACTACACCCTGCTGGTAAGGGACGCTGTCATGGGGGATTTGAAGAAGATTCAGAAATCCTGGCTGTAGTCTAGGAGTTTCTTAAGATCAAATGTTTTTCAGTTTATTGTTCATTTTTGTTCACTTGTCAGAGGTCTAAAATGGATGCTTGTTGACTATTTTGTCCAGTTTTATGCTTGATTCTCATGAGAAGTAACTTTCAACTTTGTCATGCTATCATCCCCCAAAAGCTGATTTGGTAGACTAGCTTTTAAAACTTGTCTGAAATTCTAGTTTCCATGACTTCAGTGGACTCTTTTTTATGCCATCTTGGGCTCTTTGTTACTATCCATTTCAGTGCCTTACTTTCTTCTGGATTCTAGAAACACCAGACCATTGTATCCTTTCTTCCCATAAACTATGAATATTACCATCACCTTTTGATGCTCTTATATACCCAGTCTTGGCTCTGCCTGTCAAACTTCCATGGAAGACACATGTACAATTGTTTTATAAGTTGTTCATTTTGAGGACTAGGCATAAAGCTTAACCAGTCCTCTAAGTATTCCTGATTTTAGTCAAAAGTACAAAGGAAAAAAGACAGATGGCTTTACAACTTCTTGCTAATGGCAGATGATAATCTATATCCATCTGCTCCACTCTCCTTGGTTCTCAGCTCTTATCATGCTACTTTTCAGCTTGTCTTTCACATTCCAATCTCAATCTAAATTATTCATAGGCATTCTAGATTTAGGACTGTAAAATCTGATGACTCAAAGCTGATGATTTCAGAAAAGTGTTTTCAATATCTCTATGACCATTTTCATGTAGTAGGATAGTCATAGATCTAGGCAAGTCATCCTGGCCTTTTAAATATAATACATAACAGTTCAAACTTTTGAAAAAATACATTTTACTTTTGAAGTTATAATATAATATAATTATATCATTTCCCCACTCTAAGGCCTCCCATATACCTCCCTTGGATCTCTTTAAAATTCATGGTTTCTTTTTTTATTACTTGTTGTTAAATATATACATGTATATGAATATACATATATATTCTTAAATATAACCTGCTGACTCTATATGTTACATGTATACTTGTTTTCAGGGTTTTGTATTGAATAACCAATTGGTGGGCTCTTATCTGGGAATGACTGTTTCTGCCTAAGGCTATTAGCATTCCTTAGTTGCCTATAGTCATTTGTGTAGGGTTATGGTCTTTCCCCCATTCATCTTGGCACATTTGTTGTTTTCCTGTTTCAGTTCATATTTAGGCAGTTGTGTTGGTGAGACTTTAGCTTTTGATATTACTAGGAGGCTCAGTATACAGCAAGTTCCCTGATTCCCTGGTTCATATAATTTTTCTGCCCCCTCTTCTTCAATGATCCCCGACCTTTAGGTGTAGGAAGCATTTCATAGATGTATTTATTGGGATTTTAATCCAAAAACTCTGCATTTTGACTGGTTATGATTTTCTGTAATGCTCTCCATCTTTTGCAAAGAGAAGTTTTCTTGATGAAGGATGGGTAAAGACAGTATTTATTTTGATGTATGATGCTAATTAGTTCTGACGTTTCTCTGTTTAGTACTGGACAAAGTGGGGTATTGAAATCACAATCACCTATTATTAATGAATTGATGTGTAAATGCATCTTTAATTTCAGTAGTAGATACTTTAAAATGAAATTTTGTTTCCCTAAGTTTGGTGCATATACATTTAGGATAGTACTATTTTCTTGGTTAACTGGTCTACTTAGTTAGAATGAACTGTCTCTTTTAAATCTCTTTTAATTAGTTTTAGTTTGAAGTTTTTTTGGCAGATATTCAGATAGTGATGTCTTCTTGCTTTGTGGTTCCATTAGATTACAGCAATTTTGTTCATTCTTTCTTATAGACAGTATGTAGATGGACTATGTTTCTTTATCCATATAGTCAGCCTCTATCTTTAATTGTGGAATGGAGGCCATTGATATTTAAAGTTATTATTGAAATACATGTGTTTTTTTGCAGCTATTGTGTTGTTGATTTTTGGTGTTTGTGTTCTCAGTGGTAATTTTTATATTAATAATTATGGCTTTTTGTTTTGTTTCATGATTCCTCTGCTGTGCTCAATCCTCTTTCAGCCTGAAATATTACTTCATATATGTTTTAGGTATGGTTTATGTGATATAATTTTTATGCTGTTTATATCCTGGAACATTTTTCTTTCTCATTCAATTATTGTGGATAGTTTTTATGGACATATTAGTCTAGGCAGGCCGTCACCATATTTAGGACTTGAAATACATTTCTCCAGGCTCTTCTAGCTTTCAAAATTATCATTGAGAATTTAGTTGTTATTCTTATGGGTTTTCCTTCATATGAGACTTGTATATTTTTTGATAAATTTTTATTCAAATTTGCAACAAGCTTGTTTTATATGTCAATCCCAGCTCCTTCAACCTCCCCTTCTCCCCTGTCCCCCTCCCAACCTCCATCCCATCCCCTTTCTGCTCTCCAGGGAGGGTGAAGTCTTCCATGGGGAAATCTTCAAAGTCATATAATTTGGAGCAGGGCCTAGGCCCTCCCCCATATTTCTAGGCAGAGAGAGTATCCCTCTATGTGGAATAAACAATGATCCACTGTCAGAGGTCCCATAGACTGCAGGACTTCTTCTTTTTTTTTTTTTTTTTTTTTTAAAAAAAACCCCCCCCCGATTTTTTTTTTTTTATATTTTTATTTTATATATTAATTTATTTTAAATAAAAAAAAAAATATATAATATTATTGGTTTTGTGTTTTTTTTTTTTTTTTTTTTTTTTTTTTTTGGTTGGGGGTGTGGTGATTGGGGGGTTTTTAGGGAAGTGGAAAACTTTGGTTTGTTTTTTTTAGGCTGCTTTGTCCAGCTGTTTTGAATGTAGGATCACCTGGTATTCTGTTTCAGGCGGTCTGGCTTGATTAAACCACATTAGTCTGGAAGGAATCCACAGCTTTTCATTTTCTGTGGAAACAAAAATAGAAATGCTTTTCCCCAGTAACTTGTCCTCCAACTTAAATTTTGGAGTCCAAGCATTTTTTTTTATTTCTTATTTTACATGTTGAT